CCCTCTGTGTGTGTGGGGAGTGCACCCCCCCTAAAGAAAAAAAAAAAAAAAAAAAAAAAAAAAAAGATTAGACACATGCCCAAAGCAGTCTTTTCTACTAGTTCCTCGTATGGGCCAGTAGCTACCATGCGTTGGTGTTAGCATTCTGTCACAGATCTCCAACTAACAGTATGGGCCTTTTTAGGTATATGGAAGAAACCTACCAGACCAACATATTCCTTATTGAGAAAATATGTTTATTAAAATTAGAACATGGGACCAGTCAGTATATGGTGTAATAGTTACATCACTGGACTCCCACATAGTTGACTGAAGTTCAAATCTCAGACTTGGCAGCTTAAAACTCATGCCGGTACATGTGCATATGTGCGTCCAAAATCATGAGAGGAGAATGGAGGAGAAGGGATTGCAGCATGATTGCAGCATGGTCATTCCCCAGGGGTGGAGTGGGGGCTTCTTGCATGAGAGGAGACTGGTGGGCCCACGCACCCTTTAGCAAAAATTTCTAAAAAAAAAAAACAAAACAAGAACATGAATTTGCAAACAGTCCTCTCTGTTTACTATATAAGCATGAAGCAATGTATTTTTGGATAAGAGCTAAAGAAAGAGAGTATGTATTTGAAAATTTAATCATATCATACAAAATTTCAAACATAAACAAAAGTTAATAGTATAATGAATTCAAATATTCTTTCAAGATTCAACATTTTTCAAATCGTATCAGTCTTTTTCATCCACCATCTCCTTTTTTGTTCCTAAAATGTTTTAAATCAAATATCTGACTTCATGTCATTTTACTTCTTATATACTTAATGTACACCTCTTGTTAAAAAATGTTTATTTTTCTTACCTAAACACCATTGGCATATAACACCCAGTCCATGTTCATAACTTAAACATATTTTAGTGCTTCATGGCTTAATACAAGATTTATAAGGCTATTTAGTTATCTTTAGGATAACTATTCAACATTGAACTTGATGGAGAATTAGAGGACAAATAGAACAGATTATATGTCCCATAAGTGAATGTTTGATTATCGGAGTCTTATCTTTTTCGAGACTGCTTCAGAAGGGTTTGCCAAATTACAGACTAGTATAACAATGTATATTTTTTTTCTATTCAGATGATGTACAGGAAGCTTATAACTTAATTAAGGATCTGGAGCCTACTACTCCTCAGGTAATTGAGAATGGTTTACCTTTTTACTAATAATAGTGTTGAAAGTTGAACTTTGGAAACAATAGCTGGAAGGCATATTAAAGAAGATACTTGCTTATAAAATCCCAGGAAAGACCATATACATTGATCTAGAAATATAATGTATGACAGCTTCTTTTTTCTTTCAGTTTACTGTAAGGCGTGTGTGTTTGACAGAGACAAAGTAAGAAATCAGCCTCCCAGAGGGTATGCCACAGCATAATCTCTTCTCCTCCATTCTCCTCTTGGGACTTTGGGCACTTGTTACTACTGCCTGGCATGATTTTCAGGCCTCCAGAACTGGGACTCAACTGCACAACTGCCCATGTGAGGTACAGCTCCCTTAGCCACTAGCCACGGGGCCAGCCTAGGTTTGCAAATACTAAAATCTAGAATTCTGATGAAACTAACAACTGTTGGATCATCAGGAAAGTCATGATGCATTTTTGCATAGAAAAACATAGAAAATATGTCATGACTTTCCCAATGACCTAATAGGTATATGTACTTATATCATCACTAATATAATTATCTGTACTTTCTTTTTCCCTCAGTAGATTAACTTGTTACAGTCAGGGACTGTGATTATGTTGTGTATTTAATACTATATATACTAAATATTTAGTCAGCATTCTATTTATTGAATGAAAGACATGAAAAATATTTCCAGACTCCATGGATTTTGAACAAGTTTGTTTCCTAAGTGTTTAAAAGTTTCAGTATCTTTTATGCTATTTATAAGCCCTCTTAAATAAAAATTAATAAAGCCCCTAAAGATGGTGTCTAGTAAAGAACTGAAACAAGGGCCAGCAGGTGGCATGGTGGATCAGGATCACTCCCACATGGGTGACTGCAGTTTGAGTCCCAGACAACTTGAAATCACACTGGGCACATGTGATGTGTGCCCAAAATCCCAGGAGGAGAATGGAGGAGAAGGGATTGCAGCATGGTCATTCCCCATATGGGGGTGATTTCTCACTTATCTGTCTCTCTTTGGCAAGTACACACACACCCTATGGCAAAAATCTAAAAAATAAAAATTAAATTAAGAAAAAAACTAACCAAGTCTAAAAGAAGGCATACAGTAAGGCCCCAGGACTGTAAAGGGTCAAATACCATACAAATGGAAATCAGAGGATACTTCTTTTTTTTTTTTTTTGAGGAAAAGGATCACTAACAAAAGAAAGTCATAACATTGGGAAGGGAAAATAATTTATATGATATGGGCACAGAGAATGGCAGTGGCTCAGGTGATAAAAATTATTACATAAACATTTTGTTGTTTTATTTTGAATTGAATTGAAATAAAACTTACTTTTGGGAGCATCCATTGAGTTATTTCTGCTTAAGACTGAAAATTTACAAAGATGGCAAATTCTGTTATATGGACACTTGCCTGCTAGAAACTAAAGGAAGGTCTCCTAATTCTTTTATTCAAGCCGGGAATAGAACAGAGAAAAACTAACTCTGGATAACTTTTGGTAATATATATAAAGCATTTAGTTGATGCAAGTAATTGACAGGTATCTTATAGGTCCGCCTCCTCCTAAATTAATCAGTGTTACTCCATGTTTCTAGGAATATATCCTCAAAGGGGTGGTCAATGCAGCCCTTGGCCAGGAAATGGGTTCGGTGAGTATGAAGTCACTAGCAATCTGTAATTCGCAAAGCTATAGGTGCATGAAAAATAGCAAAGTTCAGCCAGCACCAATCTTGCAAATAGGCTCTTCTGCCTCTCTGTCATTATTTCCCAAACCAGACTCTATTGTAAAAAGAAGTCTATGTTATTTAGAAACAGATAAAACTATTTTAGCCCCAAAAACCGCTGCTTTATTTAAAAAGAGCCCTGTTTTTATTATGAGTGAAAGCATGTCCACACATGTGCAGGAGGAGGAGGTAGAAAGAGGGGGTTTGGACAGATCTCGCTGCTGTGATCCTCTGCCCCAGTCTCCCACTGCTCTTGGCCTGTTCAGTTGGTCTGGGACCCAAACCTGGGCTTGGTGTGCGGTCCCAGCCTTACACAGCAGTGCCCTGTTGCTTGTGCCACCATGAGTGGGCCTGAGAGCCCTATTTTTAAGCAGTGCTTTTAATTTAATAACAAAAAAATGAGTGCACAATTTCTCTCTTATTTGCAATTTCCTTTTTTTCCCCTTTAATCTTGTACATCTCTGAGCTGTAGATTCTGGCATCTATAAAATGTGTGCTTTATAAAATAACAAAACACTGTCTAAAATTAAGTTCTCATTTATTTATTTATTTAATTCATGGTACATGTACAAGCTCAAGAGAGAGAGAAAGAGAGAAAAAGAAAGAAGCACCCTCCACAAAGTCTGGCCACTCCATGATCCCCCTTCTCCAGTCCTCTGGTCCAGCAGATCTGGGGGCACTTGGTTGTGCATGGCCTGTTTCAGGCTGACTTGGCAAGGGTTTCCAACCGTGGTCACTGTGTGGGATCCAGCTTCTCTCGAGCGATGCATTACCACTGCACAGAGGGCTTCTCTTGAGCAGCACATTACCAGGGTGCCACAAAGCTGGCCCTCTTACCCATCTTAACATGGTATATTAGGTTCTTTTAGGTACAGAGTAGGCTATAAGTAAATCTTATCTCTAGCTTATTTCACAGGGCCTTACGTAGTAGACAGACAGTAAATACTTATTGAATAAATAAATTTAAACTTAAAAAATACTCTTTGTGGGGCCGGCAAGTGGCGTGGTAGTTAAGGTGCTGGACTCCCACATACCTGATCACAGTTTAAGTTTTGGACCTAGTCACTTATTTTCTCACTTTCCCTTTCTCTCTTTCACTGGTCAAATTAATAAAAACAAAAAACAAAAAGAAAAAAGAAAAACAAATAAATTAAAATAAATTTTTGAGAGGTTTTTGCTATAGGGCACATGCGCTTGTCAGAAAGACAGAGAGAGACAGAGATAGAAAGAGAGAAATCACCCCCCAGGGGGTGATGGCCATGCCACAATCTCTTCTCCTTTCTCCTCTCAGGATCTTGGGCATGCACGCACACGCGCCTGGTGTGAGTTTAAGCCACCAGGTCCAGGACTTGAACTATGGTTGACTACATGGGAGTCCAGCAACATAACCATTATGCCAGCTGCTGGTCCCAAAATAAATATTTTTTTAAAAGCAACCCCTTGTTATACCTATAGCTCCTTTGCCAAGATCTGCTACATGGTAAAAGAGCAATGAGTATTTGTTAAATGAATGAATGAGAAAATGAATGGATTTATTTAATGAAGATCCTTATGGGATAGAATTTGGGGGCTGTACATTTTTCCTTTTTCCTCTCTGACCTTGAGTAGGTTGTAATTTAGTTTCAAGTTATCATTTTCCAGTTGCTTATCCTAAAAAGAATTAGTATTGTCTTAGGCAGAATTTAATACAAGGGTATAAGTTAAATTCTGACAAGTATATTAGAACCATAAAGTGTAATACAAATAAAGTAGCTTCCTTTTCTTCCTCTATATCAGCTCTGCTTTGTTTTTCAGAGGGATCATATGAAAATTGCCCAGCAGTTCTTCCAGCTGGTGGGAGGATCAGCTAGTGAATGTGGTATGTCTGAAATCTGTACTTCTGAGCATGGTTCCTAACTGGAGTTGGGCACATACTAACTGGTGAAGTTTCATTCTCTTTCTTGAGATGTGGCCACTAGTCTTCATATTGTAAAGTAGGAAGTTAGAAATAGGAAAGATCAGGGGCCAGTAGGTGGCATGGTGATTAGAAGTACTAGACTTCCACATGGCTGACTGCAGTTCGAGTCCTGGACCTGGCGGCTTGCTTTCTCACTCTCCCTCTCTGTGTCTCTCTGTATCTCTCTCTGGTCAAATTTAAAATAATAATAATAAAATTAAATAAAATGATTCTTTAAAAAATGTTTTAAAAAGAAAAAAACATGGGACCAGCAGTTGGCATAATGGCTATGTTGCTGGACTCCCATGTAGTCGACCATGGTTCAAGTCCCGGACCCAGTGGCTTAAACTCATGCTGGGCGCATGTGCGTATGTGCCCAAGATCCCAAGAGGAGAATGGAGGAGAAGGGATTGCGGCATGTCCCTCCCTCCTGGGTGGTGATTTCTTGCTTTCTGTCTTTCTGTCTCTCTGTCTCTCTCTGTCTTTCTGGTGAGCGCACGCGCCCTATAGCAAAAACCTCTCCCAAAAAAAAGAACCTGTTGGGGGGCCTGCAGGTGTTGTGGTGGTTAGGATGCTAGACTCCCACATGACCAACTGTGGTTCAACTGGTGGCTGACTTTCTCACTTTCCCTCTCTCCCTCTCTCTCTCAAGTCTCTCTCTGATAAAATTAAAATACAATAATTATAAATAAAATTTAAAATAAATAATTCTAAAAATATATATAAAAAAACCTGTGGGGATGCTGCATCTCTGTCTGTCTCTCTCCCTCTCCTGGAATAAACAGTAAATACACTTGAAAAACCTTTAGAAACATAATACATAAATAAATAATATATCAGAATGTGATAATTGCTACTGGGGAAAAAATTTAACAGGATAAGGAGTCTTGGGAATACCAGTGGCAGGGGTGGGGGTTATACTAATCCTCTGCTCCCTTGAATAGGAATCGGTATCAGATAAAGAGTTGGATCAGGATCAGAATCAGGTAGTTCCCTGGCAAATTGTTTCTCCATTTGAGATTAGAAGTACTAGATTGTCTTGGGCAAGTGTTGGTGTAGGCCTAGCTACATCCACTGAGTGCGCAGACGTTGGACTGGGATGAGAGAATCAAAGCCCTGGAAAACAATCTGGGAAACACTGCAGCCAGAGTACCTACAGGGCATGCACTCGTTTTGGACTCTGGGAGTTAACCCCAGAAAGATTATCGGTCACTCTCGGGTACTGTGACCTCCGTTATGCTGGGATTTCATCCACAGAACAGAATCTGTAATTTCAGAATCTAGAATCTAAAAAGGTGGCCTATTTGCTGGCACAGAGGGTAGCATATTGACCTGATTCTGGAAGACACACGACCAACCGTGGGTTCCAATTCGGAGCTGACCAGAAACACACTGAGTTTACTTCCCAAGATCCTGACTAGCTGGAGGGCTGCGGTGGGGAATGCGCTGAGGAGACCCTATCGAGGGTGTCTTTCTCTGTCTTTCTCCCTCTCTCACATATATATGTGCACACTCTCTCATAAAAGAGGTAAAATAAATAAACTATAGAAGGATGTCTTGGGCCAGCCAGTGGCAGGATGGATCCCACATGGCTGACTGTGCAGTTCGAATCCCAGACCCAGCAGCTTGAAAAACATGCTGGGCACGTATGCATGCTTGCCAAAAACCCCATGAGGAGAATGGAGGGGACACTGCGATGTTGCCATCCCTCTGCAGGGTGCTTTCTCACTTTCTCTCTCTCTGGTGAACACACCAGAGTTCCCTGTAGCAAAGTTAAAAAAATGAATCGCTTCTCGGCCTTTTGGCTAAGATCAAGTGCAAAGTTAAAAAAATGTGTTTGAATACATTTCTATCTCTAAATTATAAAATAAAATACCAGCTAGAATACATTTCTATCTCTAAATTATAAAATAACTCAAATACCAGATGAAGAGAACTTGTAGTTTTGTGAATATACAGGATTTCTTCCTCCCCCCTCCATTTCAGATACAATACCTGGGAGACAGTGCATGGCTTCCTGTTTCTTCCTGCTTAAGCAATTTGATGATGTCTTGATTTACCTCAACTCATTTAAGGTCAGTATAGAATTATCTGTATGACTTTATGTATAGTATATCAGATATGATAAGACACTCTTGGGCCAGCAGGTGGCATGGTGGTTAAGGTGCTAGACTCCCATATGACCAACTGGGTTTGAGTCCTGGACTTGGCAGTTTGCTTTCTCACTTTCCCTCTTTCTCTCTCTCTCTGGTCAAATTAAAAATAATAACAAATAGGGACCAGCAGATAATGTAATGGTTATGTTGCTGGATTCCCACATAATTAACCAAGGTTCAAGTCCCAGACCCAGTGGCTTAAAACTCACATCAGGTGCATGTGCATGTGTGCCCTAGATCCTGAGAGAATGGAGAAGGGAGTCACCCCGGGGGGTGACTTCTCACTTTCTGTCTCTCTTTCTCACTGGCAAGCACATGTGCCCTATAGCAAAAATCTCTCTCTAAAAAATAATACTAATGGGGGCCTGCGGGTGGCGTTGTTAAGAGCACTGGACTCCCACATGGCCAACTGTGAGTCAAGTCCTGGAACTGGCAGCTTGCTTTCTCACTTTCCCTCTCTCTTTCATCTTGCTCACTCTGTCCTTCTCTGGTCAAATTAAAATAAATAAATAAATAAAGCTAAATGAGGGACCAGCAGTTAGCATAAAGGCTATGTTGCTGGACTCCCATGTAGTCAACCATGGTTCGAATCCCGGACCCAGCGGCTTAAACTCACAACGGGCACGTGTGCGTGCATGCCCAAGATCCTGAGAGGAGAATGGAGGAGACAGGATTGCAGCGTGGCCATCCCCCAGGGGGGTGATTTCTCGCTTTCTGTCTCTCTTTCTGGCGAGCGCACATGCCCTATAGCAAAAACTTCTCCAAAAATAAATAAATAAATAAATAAACAAACAAACAAACAAATAAAGCTAAATGAAATAATTCTTTTTAAAAATAATAATAAATTTAATTTTGAAAAAAGATAAGATGTTCTTGGAGATGGCTATTTTTCTGTGGTGCCATTAATGGTAGTACATAATTCCATGAGATTATTTTTGTTATCTGGCATAACTGATGGTTTTATATTTTATGTGTTAATGCTCAATGTAACATATCCTTGTGATTTTTTCAGAGTTACTTCTATAACGATGACATCTTTAACTTTAATTATGCCCAAGCCAAAGCTGCAACAGGCAATACCAGTGAGGGTGAAGAGGTGGGTACCTGTCTTTAAAGACATTTGAATGATCCTAACACATCCTATCTTTTCCTCACTGAAATAAAATGGTCAAGGGTAAAGGATTATTAAAGACTTCTTGAGACCAGCAGATGGTGCAATGTTTATGTCACTAGATTCCCATGTAGTCGACTACAGTTCAAGTCCTGGATCCAGAGGCTTAAAACTCACGCTGGGCGCATGTACATGTGTGCCCAAAATCCAGAGAGGAGAATAGAAGAGAAGGGATAGCAGCATGGCCATCCTCCCGAGGGTGGGGGTGGTGATTTCTTGCTTTCTGTTTCTCTGTCTCTCTAGCATGCACATGTACCCTATAGCAAAAATCTCTCTCTCAAAAAAAAAAGAAAAAGATTTCTTTGTTCTTACGTTACATTAAAAGGTATAATCTAGGCCCAGCTACTCTGACTCGGGCAGTTGGGAAGCTACTGTGCTATGCTAGAGGCCATACGGGAAGGCTCCAGATTCACGCTCAGGGTCTAAGCATGCCTAGCTACCCACAGGCATGCCTGTGACTCTGCCTGGCTGGAGGGAGGATTGCAGCATGAAGACACTCTCGAAGGTTCCTGTCTATGTCTCTCTCTTGTGAAGAAAATTAATACTTTAAGAGTACAAAGGCAGCTAGATATCAAATGGCTAACTGTGAAGTTCAGGTCCCAGACCTGGTAGCTTGAAAAACATGCCATATATGTGTGCATGTGTGTGTGCCCAAAATCCTGAGAGAAGAATTGAGGAGAGGAATTGCGGCACATCCATCCCATCAGGGAGTGATTTCTCATTACCCCCAACCACTTCCAGTGAGTGCATGCATACTATAGCAAAAAAGAAAGAGTACATTTTGAATAGACTAATACATATTTTAATCTTTCCCCTTTATAATCAGTTTTATAGCTGTATATCATATGTGCAGAGAGGTATACAAATTATAGATCTACAGCTTAATGAATTTTCGGAGTGAACATAACCCTTGTCATTGATGCATGAGTGCTAGGCAATCGGACCCAACACTCGTGCTGGTTCTTGTCTGGTGTTCATGAAGAATTAGAGACACAGAGAGGAGAGTAAAGCAGAGTCTAGTAAGAGAGGGAAAGAACAACAGAGCTCCCAAGCAGAGAGGGGTCCCGAATGGTCTGCCAAAGAAGAGCTGGAGGTGAGGGGTTTTTATTTAGCAATTTGAGCGATGGTCTGGCTTTCTGATAAGGAAGTGAGCTTTAGGAAATAGTTACATGGTAGTTTGAGTGATTTATTACCCTATTCTTTGTGGGGTCAGTGGACCATAGTCTTCTATACTCCTTGTAAGAATGTAGTTGCTAAATAGAAACTGTTGCCCTTAGCTACAATTGCTTTGAGTCCCAATGCAGCCAGGTTTTGGCTCTGAAAATTTAGTCCACTGTGTCTCCATCTTGGCCTTATCTTGTCTGTGTGATCAATATCCCTCCTTTTTGCCTTATTAGCAAGGAACCATAAATTTTTAGAGACATGTAAAAATGTATATATTTTACATTAACCAGAATATAGAGGAAAAATAAAACAAAACAGTGGCTTCCTTGCAGGGGCCTTATCCTCTATACTTGTAGGTCTAATTTCTGTCTCACAATCAATTCCCAGATTATGAAACAATATGTTTATAACCTCAGAAATCCCCTCATCTCCTTTTTGAGTCAATCTCCTCCCCCAGCACTAACCACCAACCTGACGTCAAATTCTATAGATTGATTTGTCTGAATTATTCAAAATTGAATTTTTAAATTCAATTCTGTTATTCAACAAATTAGTCAACTTGTTACTGTTTTTAAAGAATTATTTATTTAGGGAACAGCAGATGGCGTAGCAGTTACGTCACTGGACTGCCACATAGTCATCCACTGTTCGAGTCCCAGACCTGGTGGCTTAAAACTCAGGCTAGCACATGTACATGCATGCCCAAAATCCTGAGGGGAATGGAGATGAAGGAATTGCAGTATGGCCATCCCCCTGGGGGTGGGGTGATTTCTCACTTTCTGTCTCTCTGACGAGTGCATGCACCCTATAGAAAAAAATCTCTTTAAAGGGACTAGTAGGTGGTGTGGTGGTTAAGGCACTGGACACTCCTGCATGGCCGACCACAGTTTGGGTCCCAGACCTGATGACTTTCGCTTTCTCTCTCTCTTTCTCCCTCTGTGTGTGTGTGTGTGTCTCTCTCTGGTCAAATTAAAATAAATGAATAAACAAATAAAATTAAATAAATAGTTCTTAAAAAATAAAAACTCTCTTTTAAAAACAAAGGGGGTCAGCAAGTGATACAGTGGTTAAGATGGCTGGACTCCCACATGGCTGACCACGGTTTGAGTCCCAGACCTGGCAGCTTGCTTTCTCACTTTCCTACTCTTTTCTGTCT